GGAATTCCACGGGGGAGAAGGAGGCCGGCGGGTGTGGGGAGGAGCAAGATGTGAAAACCAATTAGGTTTGTTGGTTTCTACGTTGATAGAGACATTAATCAAAACCTGAATTAATTTCAGTTTTGATTAAGATTGGAGGGAAAATTGACTTGAATTTGAAATTTCAAATCTAGCAATTAAGGCATTAAGTGGGATTAATGAGGGGAAATCAATGAGGAGGGGCCGGCGGTCAATAGAGGGAGGGAGGATGTTTGAAAACTTAAAACTGAAATTTGATTTCAGTTTTAAATAAATTAGGAGGGAAAATAATTTGGAGTTAATTCCCAAATCAAGGGGAATCAATGCCTTAATGGGGCATTAATGGTTCCACCCAAGCATGGGGGCCGGCGGCACCTAGAGGGAGCAAATTGGTGTGAGAATAATTGGAAGGTTTCCAAATTGGATGCATGACGTGTAAGGATAATTAATACAAAATCCGTTTGAATTCGAATTTTGTCATGAAAGCGGAGTCAACACTTTCCTAATTTGGAAATTCCAAAATTGGCAAGATTTTGAAATTCAAATTTTGAAATTTCAAAATTTGAATTCGGGGGGAATGGGAGATGAGGTCGATGGTTGAAAGGTTCACGGACGGGTGATGGTGGTGGGGTGGCCGGCGGCCAAAAGGAAGCTAAGGCCGGCGGTTGGGGAAAAAGGAAGGGGGGGAATCGGATGTCGGAGATAGACCACGAGCCACGGACTCTTCCAATGACTGGTGGGTGTTGCTTTTCGCCCTCACCTTGGGCTCTCGATCTCCTCTCTAGCTTCAAGCTCTCATGTAAGACAAGAAGAAGAAGAAGCAAAGAGACAAAAACTAGATTCTCATTCAAATATTCATTAAAAATTAAAATGATACAATAGACCACTATATATAGGTCTTGACTCATGAAAAGTGAAAAGACTAAGTTGCCCTCTGGGCTACAAAGAAGCATAACTCCCCACAGGGGTAAAATGGGAAAACAGTAAATCAAACGATACAATAAAAATAAGATACATCATGTCATCAAAAGTAGAGACGCTGAATCGTGGCCGTCGATCTGCGGTTTCGCCGGCGATAAACATGTCGGTAGCGTCTGTCGATGTCCTCATCACATGGGCATATCAATTTTAACATTAATCTATTTTAATTATTCATTTACTCAACCCTTCACTCTTATATTTTACATATTTGCAATCTATATTTGGTTATGTTATTCATACTCCTGTACACTTTAAGTGCTTTGGTTTTCGCATAAAAGGCTTTAAATTTCAATTTAATCTCATGACACCCAACTGAACCCCCAGTCCCCATCTTCGTCCCACTTGGCTGGTGCAAATAAGCCAAAAATTATCATTTTAATGCCTGATTATTAATTAAATCTGCTGCTTTCGTAAAGGTGTTATACAGCTTAAAAATGAATTGTATCATAGCATACATATCTACTATTTGAAGATTTCTAGTTGAACATCAACTCCAACGACAAACTTCAAAATTTTCTAGTAATCAAAATGAAGCTCAGGCCAATGAAAAAAAAAGTGATGGATAAAACCCAAAAAGTTGACTGGAACCCATATTGACATGCAAGCATCAAATTTTACTAAGTTGTATATTATATTTCATGTATATGATAAAGCGTAATTTTATAGCCAGAAATTGATACAAATACAATAAAAGACGATTACAAAGAATTGCCAACAAAAAAGATAAATACATAAGAGAAAACAAATACAATATAATGGCCAAGGATGAAAGATCCTTCAGAAAATCAGTAAAACAACAGTGCATTTGAAGCCTGTGAATACCGGGGAATGACAATGAAGGTTTTTCTTATTCCCGCATTGTCTAGGAAAGAGGATTTGAAACTTCCTATCCACTAGAGTGTCAACACCATTAGTGTATTCAATAATTGTAGGGAAATGAGGGGCTACTAGTGGAGAGGATCAAGATCAATGCTGTTGTTTGCTAATCATGTGGTAATCATATCCATAGGTCTAGCAAGTGCAGGGGCAATAGGCTTTGACTCCAAAGTAAAGCTAAAATTGGTTCAATATTATGAGTGCAATCTAATGAAACATCCAATTCAAATATAACTCTTTCCATAAATGGCCTAAATAGACTAGCAATAGTAGCACCCACTCATAAAGTTTACCAAAAATAAAGCCCATGGAGTGTAACATGGATTAGTTGAAATAATGTACATAAAGTTAAGAAAATGCAACCGAAATAACAGTGATAGGTGATTTCTCATAATAGTAAAAATGGAAAGACAATTTAAGCATTCACATCAGAAAGCCACTAAAATAATAGGATCGTTGAAAGAACTGTCTGGTATAATTTGCTTCTAAAGTTAATCTTATAATGATATGAGAGTCAATGAACCCAATAGAGAAGTCATCAACCAAATGCCTATCATAAATTGCAAAAAATCTTCAGATTGGGCAGCCCAAATAGAATTTTCCCGCATTTAAAAAAAAGAGAGAGCGAACTAGCAAGCTCAGAGATCTTATATTATATGAAAATGTGAGCCTATTTGTCCTGAAATGTAGATGGTCTCTTATGTTGTGGAACTAAATCTCATTGAAAAAGATGAAAGGAAATGATTGGATGAAGAGTGATGAATTCTTGAATCCTGTACCACCCCCGCGTGCGCGCGCACCCCCCTTAACAATAACCTTTGCAAAGTATTGAGTGCAAGAAACAATAGATGCGGTATTCGATATATGCAAACAGAAGGAGTAGCCTTCCAGAAAATAGAGCCCATCGATATAGGAGATGGCAATGGAAATAAACAAATAGAGGGTTTGGCTGAAACCCTAGAAGCAATAAAAATAGGGGATAGAGGAGAATGAGTTTGGATTGGAGAGAGGGAATATAATCACTGACAAGTCCTAAACTCTATAGATGCAGAATCTATTGGCATAGATTTAAGGGAAGAAGTGTGAAAGGCATTCTAAAGGTGAGAGAAGATATTAACATAAGAGAAAGTCGTTAGGGTTGCAGCTCTAGATGGCAAGCCAACAGACATAACACCAACCAAGAGCAAGCACAACAGCATAGTGTAATTAAGTGCACCAACACCTAGAGATGATGTCAAGTAACAAAAGCACGATCATGGGCAAGAGGATCCAAAGACTTATTGCCGGAGAAGAGGGCGTCAAATTTATGAATTGATGCAAGCGCACCCCGTGCACAATGCGAGGTAAGATGAGGAGGGTAGGAGCTAATCATGAATCAAGGTGTGCAAAGCTTCGGGCATGCCCATGCACAAGAAAGAGAGCATTGAAATGCTAAGCTACTCAAGCGCCCATAACGCATGGATACAAGCCAAGATGGTCAAAGGGAACAATGTAATCTTGTATGTATTATATTTCATGTTGCATTCATCAACCTTAGATACGGTAGAGGTAGGAGCAATATCCTAGTATTCAAGATATCCAAGCTAAATGATTGTAGTAAAAGACTATTTATGAGCAAAATCCTTCTTTTGATGAAAGTTAAATCATGAAATTACATCTTTCTAGCAAACTAAGTGAGTTTTGATTGTTTTACTATTAATTGATTTCATTTTAAATTTTATTTTCTGATTTTGTTTTTTCTCGTGGAGAACATTCCTATGATGATAGTTTCTTTGAGAATAGGATGTTATTTTATTTATTATAATGTACCTAATTTGGTTCTCCTCAGATCTAGCGCAATTTAGTTGATTCGTTGGGTCTATTGCCATGGTTTTTTTCCTATGGCAAATACTATTTGGGCCCATCTAATGTTGTGGGCTGTGGCTGGAGTTGTTTAGATGCTGTAGCAGCATATCCGTAAAAAAAAAATGCCAAATGAGTCTATTCTCTTATATCATAATTGTGTTAGAGGAATTTGGTTTCTTTTAATTCAGTAGGCTTAGGCATTGGTTGATAAAGCCGTTGAACAGTTCCTGCATCTGTACCTTAAGCGGTTCCTATAGCTCATATGAGGGATATTTCATAAGAAAGAAGTTTGATCACTGATTCCAAGTTCGGTGCAGCTCTATTTCCATGCTAATTTGGAAGTCATGTTTATTAGTATTGTGGAATTCAATTGAAGAATTTGACCAAGACTTGATGTGCCTCATCCACGTCAACTTTCCAAGCAAGATATGGAATCTACCAACTTAATGCTTATAAATATAAAAATCCGAGAGATATAAATGAACTTCTTGCTTAATGAAAATTTCATATTCCCTTTCAATATTGAGTGCGCTTGGTCAAATGTCAATTTCTTTTAGAGTATTGTTAAAGTAACTACCAATTTTGGTGGGAAGCCATCTTCTTGCACCAATGTGAGGCCTGAATTTTTAATTTTTGGAGATTTCTTTCATAGTTTTCTTATCTTCTGTAAAATTTGTTCTTAATTATAGTCAAATATGCTTTTCTGTTGTGACGTGAATTCCAATTGTTTTTTTTTTTTTTTTTTTTTTTTTTTTTTTTTTTTTTTTTTTTTTTTTTTTTTTTAGGGTTTCAATTTCTCACTGATTTTCGTTTGTTTATTCTATTGTTAAATTATCAGATGGCATGAATTTCTCATATGTTTAATTCACATTGAAAGAAGAAAAAATCTTGTTTTAATTGATGATCTTTGAAATTATGAATCTCAGATCAGTTTTGTGTTGTCCTGACCCACTACAAAATTTAAGATAACTATATAAGGACAGTTCATATGAGAAGACCTAAAATATCAAGATAGTCAAGGTTGTGACCTTGGAACAGTAATATGAATTGGCTTCAAACCAACAATGGCATCTACCATTAGATCCATGAGATTTTAAATTCGTATCATTGAGTAACTTGCAAAAGATTAAATCTAATAGCCTATCATGAATTCAAGCTTTAAGGTACATTGTAAGGCTTGTATCAATCTGAATAAATGGGTGCATTACCAGCTGAACAGTCATAATTTTACAAGTGCGGCAAATTAATCAATAAAGTCATATGGGCTCAGCAATTCTTTTATTTACTTTTCATGATGCATACCATTTTGTCCATATCAGGCGGATAAAAATTAGCACCTGGCGGCTTCGTCAAAGGAAATGCAATTCTATATTCAAGGCCTTTCCAACCAGGAGCAGGTCTCGTGGACTTCTCAAGCAATTTGATAGCAGAATCTGCTGTAGTAAAAAATGCCTTGTTGTCATCAATGCATGACCTGCAATTAGAAAAAAGAAAAACAATAAAGTAGACTTAAATGTGAAAATATAATATAAATTCTAATAGGAGTACCTCGACTATATTTCCTTCTTAATTACCAACACTTTCTAATCTTGAAACACATCTGAATAAGAAGGCTTTCATGCCCCCCACAGATATAACAACAGAAAATTAAAAAAGCAGGAGAATAGAATAGTTCTACATAAAAAAAGATTTGTTTGAACTAAACACTCATTCAGATAATAAAGATAAAAGAATCAACCACACCAGCTTAACTATTGCATTGCATACTTCATTATATGCCTACAGCTTGATCAACATGCATTTGAAAAAATACTTCGTATCTCAAGAATCCACCAAGCGTATGAAACTACCACATCTGAAACCACGATAAGAACCACATAGGTATTATCATTATTGAATCTGGTTTAGAATCATCAAAACAATTATCCGCAGGTTACATCCAATAAATGGAAACCAAAACAACCAGTTAAAAACCTATCACGCATAGCAATATTTAAATACAGATGAGAAATTTCACGTATAGAATGAAGCTCATAAATTAATAGTAAAAATCAACCGATCACCTTAAGCAATTTAACATACCAAGGTATAGGAACGTTTCTAATAAAATAAGCTACCATACAACCCAAATGACGTTAAATCTTATCCTAATTCTATGATCAATTTCACAGGACCTACCTAGTTCATGTAGGTGTAAAGGGTAAAGAATTAATGATGCAACCTAAAATGAGCTGCACATAGAAAACACAAAATAAATTATAATTCAAAAGTTATCAACCATTAACTGCAGCTAAAAATTAATATTATTTAAAGTAAAAACAGAACTTAATTCATCCAAAACAATAATCTAATAGTTGCCAAATTTAAATTTGCAAATAAAATTTTATGAGCTAAGATAAAATTTCAGCAATGATCAAATTTCACACTATGAAATAGAATTTGGCACACATGTCATACTTGACAAAATTCCAATCACATACAACCAAAAATTAAAAAGATTAGAAACAAGGACAAGGATTGAAATAACGCAAAAGGAAGAACAAGGCCTCACACCAGTATAAAAAGACTAGTATCTGAAATTAGTTATCAACACCTATGGCCCTCAAAAAATTTGCATTCAACCAATACACAAGTATGGAAGAAAACTGAAATCATATTACATTACTCAATATTCCCAGATTCCTATTGTTTCTAGAGTCATATTTATTGCCCACAAAGGATGTAAAATAAGAAGTTCCTGGGAATCCTTGAGATCTATGGGGTGCGTGCCTGTGTAGAGGGAGGGATGGGTTCACAATTCTTCAAGCAAATAAGTAAGCTATGTCCCGAGATAAAATAAGTAAGGTATTTCCTACATCACCAGAGTTTGATTTTACACAAATCTCAAGTTAGAGAGCTTCGACAACCAGATGAAAAGAAGCACATGCGCATCTATTATTGCAAAAGGACCAATGCAGGAAATTTGACAACGATTGAGATATTAACAGCACATTCAGGAATAATAAGAAACACAAGATGCATAAATATTCGTCACAAAGGCAGCCAGAACCTGAATTACATATATAAAATTTATCTAGATATGAAGACTATGTTCCACCAGCCTAAAGCATAGTTGGATAAGAGAGAACGCATATTGAAGCAAGGTGAGTTGCTGGAGTAACCTATCCTAGCTGCTATCATTGCAAACAATGACATCATTGGCAAAGCATTTTAATTCTTCAAATTGCACTCAACCCATGGTCATGCCATTTCCTTGATTTTGTTTTCCAACGAAAACTTACCATAGTAAAATAGGGCCGAACTAATTCATTGCAATCTTTGCAAATGTAGAAATTAATTGGTGATGCATTTCAAATACACGTCTTAAAAAAATAAAATATCATACATAAATATCATATATAGATGAAGTTGGGGATACCATTGAAACCAAGGCAAGCGGGACATTTCCTTGTTAATTTTGCATACATTCCAAATGAAATCTATGTCAAAAGAAGTGTTCAAACCAATACCTAAATTAAGCTATAGTTGATGACAACAACTTCATGATATTTAATCTAAATCACTACTTCTCAGCCATTATTTGATATTTTACTTATAAGTTTGTTCCATTAAATGCAGCAAACTATAGATTGATCATCCTTCAATATTCTACCATTTAATGAAGCATGTCAATTGGCATAATCTGTAGCGTATTAAATATAATTAGCCATGCTAAAATATCCAACTCCAGCTAAAATACCAAACCCCTGATATTGAATCCACGTTAAGCTATAGTATATAAAATAATTAGACATTCCAAGGTTCCAAGTCTTCAAGGAACTTCCTTTAATTAGTATACTGATTGCTAAAGCTTCTTTTCTACATTATGGCACACTAGTGTTCAAGGGTGCAAATAGGGGTGACTAAAACAGAGGACAAGGCATATTTTGATATACATTCAATCATTGATTTGATTTTTTTTTAAATATATTGAATAAAAAAATATTTTATAGCTAAAAAAATGGAAAAATGTTAAATTTTTAGTGTAATTTTTTCTAGGAAGGATGATTTGTTAATTGTAAACATAAATGTATTTATTATACATTTTAATAGAAAATTTTTTAAATGAATTTAGAAAAGATTGATAAAAAATATGCAGGTGTTGACTCTCTCGCCCTCTTAACTTGCACATATGTTAATGTTTGAGTCCTCACGGTTTTTTTTTTTTTTGTCCTTTTCTTGTGCAACAAATTTGGTGATGTAGGGTCTATCTTGAGTAATTTTGACGTTATGGGCATTAACGTAATTTATTTTGAGAAATTAGCTACATTTGAGCGGTTTTTATATAGTCAAGACATCTTGAACCCACCTTGTGTTATCATTTGTGGTCCGATGTTTTTATCAACTAGATCAAATTGATAGGGTATAGTTATGGGGTCAACATGAAATTGGCTAATTTTGTTGGTCAAAATATAAAAGAAATTTTGGAATGAGGATTCACACCCATTTGTTGACATATTTTTCAAATCAAGTCATCTCGATTTTGCAAAATTTAAAATTTCAATTCAATTTGAACTCCGAAATTATTCAACTTACTTAAATTTGACAAACTAACACAAATTAGACTCAATTTACTTGACTTGCTTGTTCGATTTCATGCTAATTACATCAAAATAGATTAAATTGCACCAAATTAACTCAATAGATTTTAAATGAGTCGAATTAAGTTGGATTGAGTCAAATTAATTAAAATTGGGAAAATTTGGGAAAAATTGAGTTCAATTGAGTCTAATTGAGTCAAATCGACTTCACTTGAGACAAATGGACTCAATTTGAGTCAAATTAACTTTAATTCAATAAATACATTGCAACTTTAATTTATAAAAAAGACTAATCATATGGATTAAATGTTATAATACAATTCTTGAATATGTTTAAAAAAAAAGAGATTCAGATTGTGGATAAACTTTCATGATAAAATGCAAGAAATCTCCATAACAACAACAAATAATTTATGCCAAATGAAAGCAAGAGCTTCCAATTTTTATTAGTTTACGAAAACTTTGTTGATTTTTGCCAACCATAGCGCCAATGAATGAATGCAAATGGATGCATCAAATATGTAATTAGTTAAGCTCAACTAAAGCTCTACAACAATAAATTTGATAAGAAAATTAATAAACAAACTTACAAGATTTTAAAGCTCAAGTCATATTTAAGATCGACTAAAGCTTGATAAAATAGAAATGAATGACCTTCAACCAATTTGTTTGCAACCTTTTAGGTTTTGTTTAGTTGAGTTTTTTATGTTAAAAAAATTGGTTTAAAAGCTATTTTCCAAAAAAAAAAAAATAGAGTTTTAAAGCTGCACAACTTCGCATTATAAACTAGATAGTAACAAAAATGCATCATGACTTACTACATGCAAAACCTCACAGTCAGGCATCATAATTTAAGTAGATAAGCCATAAGTTCTCTTTCTTAAAATCAAAACAACCTAGCCAAGCTTGCATATGCATTGAAACAAAGATTACATGATTTTAAAAGCAATTAAGTGAATTTAGCAGACCATTCTTTCCGAGCATTATTATAGGACAAAAGGTCAGGCTAACATAACCTCATATGAGGTTTTAAGTTCATAAGTCCTACGCATTTTGATAAATTTAGGTTCAAGTTACTACCTATCATTTTTTTTCACCTTAGATATAGGGTCCATGGTTGATATTATTTTTAGTTACATCATAAGTGCTAGTCTTCTAAGACATTTCATTAATCTTATGTTGTTCAAATATGAATTCCATCTTTCTAAATCAAATCAGCCAAATTTAATATAAATTTAATGTTAAAATGTAAAATCCAGCGTTTGATAGTATTGAGTACATCTGAGTTTCTCATAATCAAGAACTCCTATATTTCCTCTTTATCAATTTCTACTCATCAATTTTAAGTTGATTCAATAATCTATAAAATTATAAAGACAATATTTGAAATAATTTTTTTAAAAAATAATATAAAATATTATCCAATGTTTGGATAAATAAATATAAATCACTATTTAATAAAAAATTCTCAATTGCCAAATATCTTTAGTAATTAATCACAAAGGCTTGCCTTTCAAGGAACTTGCACCTCATAATTAAAAAAACTCTATTCAATCAAATATATTGCATAAAGAAAAATCTCTTAGGGTGTAAAAATAAAATAAAATGCAAGTTTTGTTATTGAGTACATAGTGAAATATTAAGTTTGTCCTTCAAGATAATATATTATTTTTTATGTCGTAGTCGATCAAAAAATATTTAAAATCCGTTAAAAATAGAAAAATTCCTCATCAATTTTATTAAAACCCAAAAACTTCAATTGTATGCCAAGTGATCTGATATGAAGACAAGTTTCCAATAGGATATTACCATGGGCTTTTATTGATGGAATAATACATCCATTTTAACTTGTCAAAGTCCGAAGCAACGGCCTGCTCCTTCAACCAATCTCTAA